AATATAAACAGAAACAGATTTGCACAAAAAATTGAAAAAGAGGAAAGTATCAACATCAAATGTTTCTAAAAAATTTCCATACAACAAAGTTTCAAAATTTATAAAAAAGAAAATTTTAATACGAAATATATTACTTTCGAATGTAATAACAATCTTTCTGAATATATTCTCATATATTGTCTAGTAAATTTCTCTAGCAATCCAAAGTGAGCATCGGATCTTCGCAAATATAAAACAAAACAAAATGATAGTAAACGTCAAGAAAAAAAATAACTAAAGCGCTGCAAACTTCTCACTAAATAATCTAAAATCTCTAGAAAATCCCTAGCAATATAAAGTAACTAAAGTTGTACACACGAGACATCGCGTATTCAATATACACGAATATACACGAAAACGATGTGATTTTTTTCATACAGAAAAACAAAAGGAAACTGTGAGAGAATGTAACCGAATGATCGAGTTGAATGAATTTGAACCGAAGTGGAATCGTTGGCGAACGCCGCACTAATGCCAAAGAATTCAAAGCAATGGACTTCGACACGCGTGTATACACGACCCAGTCCGGTCACGTTCTCGTGATTCAAGGCCGAAACCTTTACAAACCTTCTGATCGTTGCAATTAATCACGCAAAAAAATCAATCGAAATCAGCCGAACTAAAATCAGACCTTGAACCCGAGAATCGCGGGAAATCGGATTGATCGAGATGATCGTTCGAAGAATTCAAGAGGATATTTAACGTGATTGAAACTCTTGTTCTTGCAAAGAGAATTTAAATGGATAGGAATCTGCAAATGGAATGATATTGGTGCAAGTTCTATTATATACATTTGTACGTACGTGAGTCATGAAAGTATTTAAATAGATATTAATTCTAAGAATGATCGTACGAAAGATTGTTTGTTTCTAATGTTACACATAATTTGTATACTTTACACCGAATGAAACAAATATATGTATATTGAGCGAGATATTGTAAATTGTTTCAATATTATGCGAATAATAAATATTTTTAAAAGTTTGTATTTGAAAAACGTTCACGTAAGAAATAAGCTAGAAGGAATTTTACATATTTCAATTTCATTACGCGATATAATTTTATAAATATTGTATTATTATTTGATGTATTTGTGGTGTTTTTGAAAAAAATTTAATAAATATTGTTGCAACATTTATGTAAGAACATGAGAACCTTTTCAACAATTCTGCAATTAATACATACTTAACACCTATAGTTCTGATTATAAGTATAGTGTAAGTAGTTTGAATGAGTGTTGCTACTACATGCGCACTTGTGAATTGATAAAAAGTGAAATCGCAAGTTTTAATATTAGATTAGAACGCGAAAAGTACTTGACACAGTTAAAAAAATTGGCTTCAGATAAAACCAGAAACGAATGATTTTGGACAACCTTGATTTTTAAATATAAACGCAATCCTTGAGCACGAAAATTAATTAATTCTTTTAGATATACGGTTGAACATTCAGTATCCAAATTAATTGGGAGATATAACTGTTTCGATAAAGAAATTCTCGAAATCAAGAATTCTAGCCTTTTTGATTTTGATTTTATAATATTATGGGAATAATATAATATTTTTTAAATCTTTTATATTTTTAAATTAAATAAAATAAATAAATTTCGTACCGTCGAACTACTTATTCTTAAATTGAATAATTAACTTCTAATATAATAAAGTATTTTGAAATATTAAAATGAATGTTATAAAAAATTAATATACTAAAAAATAATATACGTATTGCATAAGAAATTAAGATTTATATACTGGTAGATTAGATAGATCTCTGGAGTATTCTTATCTCAACATTTATAAATATTATAAAATGAATTATACAACTTTGATTTTAAATATCTCAACTCAATTTTGTGAAAAACATAACCATAATGAAAGGTTAATTGCAAAGGAATGCGTTGATTTTTAACGCATAACGATTTCTAATTTAGCTTTATTACGTCATTAGAAAGCGTGGACCATACGAATTCCTAACTTTCGACAAATCAATTTCTTGATAGATTTAGAAAAATTTTTAAAAGTTCAATTCAATTTCACATAAAACTTTATTCTATCTAGGGAAGAAATTGCAATTGTAATATCAAAATTAAGATTATAAAAGAAATATAAAAATACATATTGAAAATTTGAAAAATTGTAAATTATTAAAAATATTTATTCAATTCCCCTTCCAATATACTAAAGATTCTATTTTGTACTTACATTATTAGAAATTTGTTTAAAAATATATAAAAATAATGAAAAATATGTGTTCTGTATAGTTTTACAAAACTTAACCTTTTTTCACGATACAGATTATCAAAAATAATCAATGACTGACATCATAACTAAACATGAATATTACAACCAACCACTTACTTCACATGAAACATTCTAATCTTATCAAACGTTAATTCTTAGAAAACCAACTCTCAAAGTACTTATATATACAAAATTTCTGCACATTTAAAATTTTCACACAGCAACGTTAAAACGACAAACTGCCACTGGAACAGCATCAGCGCCCTCTTGCGCAATTGAACTAATATTACTATCGAAATTTAACGAATCGAAATGTAACAAATCGATACTAATAAATTCCCTTGCATGAAATTAATAAATTTACTGATAAAACAAACAAAATTATGTAAATTAAACAATTCAGAAATAATAATTAAACAATTTAATTACGTAATAATTTTTACGTGATATAAAATTCGAAAATTCTAAAAAAAAAATTTATAACCTAAAATCTACCACTTGTCGATTAATTATTATTATTATTATTATTGATATATAATTGATACATTATAATTATAATGCAACAAGATATAAAAAATGTAACAATGTTTCGCTTTTAAACGATAAAGATGTAAAGACGATCGATCAAAAGAAAAAAAGGAGGGAAAAAAAACGAATCATCATCGATCGTCAATCGTCGAGTTAATTTTATATAACTTAAATTCGAACCAAATGATCAATCGAGATGCCAAAAAAGAAACGATTACCGTTACAAACGTTAGTCATGAGTTGAAGAAAAAAAGAAGAAAGATACTTTGTCGCTGGATGGAACAAAGGATCGCACGAGGAATACGGATATTTCTGTTCGAAGCACGTTCGGAAACCAGACATTTAAACGTATCCAAGGGTCCGGAAGACTACATTGTCAGCGGGTCGGTGTCACGTTGGAAGGAAAATGAATCGTGGAATCGTGCAATTCGATCCGGAAGCGGAGAATTCATTACTATAGCTGTCGAAGGAAGTCTGCGACGAACGAAGGCGATTACACGACAAGAATCTTTCGTTCTTCCGATATCTTTTTATTTCATCGAAAATTTTGTCATTTCGTTTATATATTGATCTAAAATTTTATTTCATTTACTTGTCATTATAAGAACGTATATCTATTGTTTCTAGTAAAATTTTTGATTCGTTTCATGTATCAAAGTATGACGATGTTTAAGCACCTACGCACAAAGAAATACGTGAAAGTGCTTGACCTGCTGTGTTTAACGACACTTTTTCAGACTTGTAGTATTTCAAGAAGAAAGAAATCAGAGAGAAAAGAAAAATTAGTTCTTGTGAAAAAAATAAAAGCAATAATCTCACGATATTGTTCGATATAACATTTTTTAAATAATTAATATAAAGATAAAATCTATAAACATTTGTTATATATAGATTTTAATGCATTATACTAAGCTCATACTTTCTATTCTAATTGGATATATAGTCTATTCTAGATTTTGTAGCATTTATTTTGACTAGATAAAATCTAATTTCTATTAACGTACGATTAAAATGACACCTATTAATTTATCGATAACTATTAGTCCCTAGATTTTTACAATTATAATATCTTTTTACTTTAATAAGCAAAGAATATTCTGTTTATGTAAAATTAATTGCGAATGTCGATTTGCCCATCGCTACTATCTCACTACGCATTTGGCAACGCACGGTGACGTAACACTGATTCCACTGACATGATTTGCCTCCTCCGTCTATGACGGTGAAAATACGGCAAGCACGCCGGCAACCAAAACCGTTGCGTACCTACGCAACAAGCGTGTTTTTTAAATTTTAAAGGGACCTCCGACGCGTGTTCGACGTCACCGGACGTTTCTCTCTCACGCTCTGCGGCCGAAAATAAGTTAACGTTCTGTTGTGCGACTTTCCACGCATTACCTAAATTGAATTATATTCGCGATAAGTACATATACCGAAACAAATTCTCGTTTGTAGTACCCGAAATTCGATGAATTTTGCATCACGTGACCTCTTCCAAACGAAAAACTTTGATTATTCTGAGAGTTAATATTCTAGATGACAGACAAAATGTATTCTTATATTGTCTTTACAATGACACTTGTTAAATATTCGTAGATGAAAGTTCGAATTGAAATTGTTCGAATATTACTGATATTGTTCAATATGATACAATGTTATATCGATATATTATTGATAAATAATTGCATAAAAAGTTTAAGCATAAGAGAGATTATTGTGAATGCTTACGTAACGTGAATATTTACTGGTAGAAAATCATCAAAAAATGACAACGATAAGCAGGCTATATATATATGACTATTTTTCAAATATTCCAATGGATAGCGATTTAAAAATTACTATTATCAAAAACTTGTCAATCTACATACTTGTCAATTTGGTCTTGAAGTCAATTTCATTAAAATTAAATGAAGTTATCACAGTAGAACATATATATATATATATACATATCAATATCGACCAACGTAACCCTTACGACTCTCGAAAAAGTCGAAAGAGCTATGCACGCGAGACTCAACTTTTTCGCGATTTATTCCCCGTAATTGAACGAAATAATCTTTTCAATTTTATCGCAACATTTGAAAAACGATATAAGGAATTTTTATATTATAGTGCAAGATGCGATAAAGTATGATAAATGAGTAAATTTTGGGAAATTCAAGGGCGACACGTGGACCGGAAACAGTTGCTCACCTCTAACATCCACTCCGCGACAATCTTGCGCATGAGCGGCGAGATGTCCCTCTGCACGCACTCGAAGTAAGAACTGCTGGGCGCGTATCTTTCCTCGGTTTTCAGTAGATTCTGCAGCACACGGTCATCACCAAGTAGGGCTGGATCAGCGTAGGCTCTGCACTCAGTCTCAGTAGTCTCGCAGCAAAGCAGATCCATGATCCCGTGGCGTTTCTAACCTCTCGAACACGCACACGCACAACAGAGAAACGGCGGCGGCGGCACAGCCTCTCCTCCTCCTTTTTCTCCGGTGACTGTTCGCGATCGAAGATATCCCGGTGTGTCAAGCTTTTCGACGACGCACAGAGATTCTCGGGGATCGGACGTTTTTTCTCTCCTCCTTCGTTTTTTCCGTCCCTTCTCACCGCCGTCGTCGTCGCCGTCGCCGTCGTCGCGGTGTCACTTTATTCACGTGCCACGTTGCCAAACCGTTTTTCGCCGGCGCGACCAGACAGAGCATGCACGAATCGATCGTAAAGATACGGTAGTTCACACGAATTCGCACGAGAAGACGCTTGCCAGGACACTCAACACTTCACAAAATATAACATATATATACACATGTCATACGCGTGTATACATACACGTACAGGACCTTGGTTTCGGGCAATGACTTCGAATATATCACTCACCTAGAGGCTATGTACGCGAAAACAATATATACAACACAACGTCGAAATTCGACGACGTGAAAAAAAGCCGGGTTTTATTATCCCTTGCACAACACACTCTCCTTTCGTCTCTGATATTCTCTCGTCTGGCGTAGTTACCGAATTGTATAGCTCTTTTTCTTGTATTGAGCTCTCCTATTTTCTTTATGTACATATATATCCTCGTATCGTCGAAGCTGCCTCTCGATCAAGAAAAGAGAAAAAATAAAACGAATAGCTCGAACACACACTAGTAGCGAATGAATAAAAAAGATCGTTCGAAGGGACGTAGGACGTAGGTTGTAGGATTATAAATAAGCGTAATTCGGCCTTGTTGGTTGTGTTTCGTCGATTAGAGTTACTTGTGAATAGTTCGTTGCACCTAGGTTTACGTTGTTGTGGATAGGTGCACGAAGAAACTGTTCCCCTTTTGAAACAACTTGGCTTCGGGTGATTTAAATGTCCTGCGATGCAAGCTTAGTCTTATTCACTTCCTCACGATCCGACACTGGCGACTTACCAGGTCAGAATGTCGCTTGTCGTCGTACCGTGGTTCGGTCTCCTCCGGTTCGTTCTATCCGAAGGGGTGGTAGGTGCGTCCCCACTATCTCGGCGCCAAACGATCACGTGATCATGGATCGATCCCTACCACCAAAGCGCCAGCGTGTCACGTGAAACGTAACTGTTCCCCCACTATTGGCTGACATGACTGGGGCGCCAGTGCCGGATTCGCATCGTGTAACAAGAACCTAGCGCAACTGCCACCTACAGGGTCGCCACCTTCGGCGTCTCGTGTTATTTCAGGGACGGCTATGAGATCTACGGAACCAAGGTGGTAGTGTTTTAACCTGTTGTCGAAGTCCATAGAACTGAGAAGATTTTGAATGTGAACGATTTGTTTAGCTCTTTTAAAACTGTGTAATATTCACGATTTCCAGTAGAATTTGTGAACAGATGAAAATTTTTATTGTGAAATTTAAATTTTTTAATTGTTAAGAATAAAGCGTTTTAAATGAAATATAATTTATTTTTGTTTTCTTTTCTGATTATAATTTTTTTTTGTGATTTTCTGTGAATGAAAGTTTTAGAATTCGCGATACTTATAAACTATAATTTTTATTTGAAGAAGAAAAATATTTTAATTTTAAAAAAATTAGTAATTGATACAAACTAGCCATTATATTACGCATATATATTAATCTTATATTTTCCTTTCTTAATACCATGTAGGCGTTATGTAAGAAACGTTTTCCTCTAACGAATAACATGAGTCACTAAGGAAATCAATAAAACGTAACTTGTTGAAATTTTGAAGATCACATATGTTTATCAATTTAAACTATTATCTAAATGTTCATTTTTAATTTTATTTTATTAAATTTTCCTTCAATTTTAATAAATAAGTCGTAAATGTTATCACAAAAATAAAATATTTTTGAAATGTATTTTTAATTTAATTATAATAAAATTTTATGTTAAATATTAATAATTTTTTATTGTATATAATTATAAAATTTTCAAAATCAAATGATATCTATGTTATTGAATTGTAGCCACGTTACGTCTAACATGGAGTAGGGTTCCATGTGATCACAATCCGATATTGACTCGACAGTATTCGGATAAGTCCGGATTCATTCGTTTTCATTCGTTCATATACAACGTTGAAATTCTTTGCATTATTCTTTGTTATCGAAATTTCAGGTCTTTTTATATATTTTTCTATTTTTCATCTATATTCTTTTTAGTGTCGAAGTTAATCATTCACTTTATCGACCACACGAAAATTGGTAAAATTATTAATAGAAACATTGATGAATCTGCTATAACAAAGAGAATAACGAACAATTTTCTTCAGGTATTTGTTATACACGTGACAATAAACGAGAAATTCCATTCTTTTGTTGAGAATAGACTGAAGGAGTGAATTATAAATACATCATTGTTAAAACATCGTGAAATAAAAGATGGAAAAGTATACAATAGGTTAGAAACCATGGAATTGCAAAGGATTAAGAAATATGAAAGTCATCTTGAAGTTTTTAAATAGCATTTCATATTTTCTTTGTAGTCAGGTAATAATTTCAATTCTGCAATAAATTAGAACATACACGTTCAAATAAAATAGAAATTAAAATAGATTATTTGGCTTCCATAATCATGGCATAATCAGGTATGAATTTAAAACATTAAATTATTGAAATTATAACAAATTTAAATTAAATTATCTATTCTTGAGTAATGTTTTGGTAAATTTGATTAAAGGAATAGTTTTCTTGTAAAAAAAAAAGTAATAAAATACATTTTATTATAGTATATCTACCATTACTTTAGCATCATTATCATTTTATTATTATCATTTATTTATTCTTCACAATCAACTTTATTACAAATTATTATTTTTTTTTTTTCATAAAATCTGAAAACAAAATTAATATTTTAACAAGCTCTTCTATCTGCGTCCTTTTTGATCCGACACGTCATTAGAAACCCGATAAAAATTCGTTCACCGATCTCGTCGTGCAGGAGCACTGTTCGCGAATCGTTGCTACGTTACTATCATTGCTACAGAACATAGAATCGCATTATCGCCAACGACTCGAGAACGTGTATGCAGACCCATGGGTTCTTCTCTCCTCTCTTCGTGTCCGGCGATCGAACGAACGAAGCCTAGGCGGCTTCTTTCGTTGGTTTCTCTGGCCGTGTCGAGAAATTTCTGAAGCGTATATAGGGAAAGTAAGGGCCACTTCCGCCGGATAATTTGAACGGGAGAAAGAAACGGTCCGTGTAGGAGTGGGAATGTCCTTCGTGCACGAAACTCGCGGGTTCTCGGTTCGTTTGCGCGTACTACGCGTTTACTACGGTGTCGTACGCGCGTGCAACTTTACGCGACCGGATGTTGCACCGCGTACCAGACGACGTCGTAACGACTGAACAATAAGTGCTTCGCTGGAGTACTACGAGTAAATCGAAACGATCACGATTCGTCTTGTATTAGATACCCGGCGAAAACCGGATGACCGGATGTTTCGTTACTCAGTTGATCGTTGATTCGACGATTGGTCGGATGGTTGGATGCAAATAATACAGATACGATATATAGATTTAATGTGAAGCTATATTATTTTTAATCTAATTAATTATTATTGATAAATAGTGTGAGTTTTTGTTTTTAAAATATTTAATTTTCAGGAAATAAGAAAAAAATTAATTTGCCACATGAGAAAAGAGAAAAATAAGTAGTCATTAAATAAAGATTATATATAATAAAAAGAAATGAGAAATAAATGAGTATTTATTATTTTATTATTTGGTACGTAATGTAATTATTATTATTAATAATGGAAATAATTATAATTACGATAAGTTAGAAGTTGTGCTAATATTAGAAGCAATATATTATATAGAATTATGGTAAATGCATCATTCTTATGGCCATGGTCATGGTCACGATGACAGTGACAAGCTAGTGACAGTGATGAAATCACGATCGTATTATATTACTCATGACTGTGTCAGAATAAACTTGTAATCAAATTGCGAGTATAAGTTATGAGCAATTTACGATTTTTTATTACTTGTTGTTAATATAGAACTTTATTATCAGAATTATTTAAAAATTATTTTTATATTAAACAAATGTGTATATACCTAATTAATCATATTTGAAGCTTTCTGTCACGATAATTATATTAAATACAAAATTGCTTATATTAATTAAAAGCATTAACTACTAACTATTTCTTCACTTTTAGTCCTAGATTGTATCAATGGTATTTAAAATTCAAATTAGATACTTGTGTTCATTAATTTTTCGCCGTGTTCTTCATTATTGTTCACTTATTAATTAAAGTTTAATATTATTTCTAGTATGCATATACTTATTAATCTCAGTTTCACAAGACACGAAGTGTATCCTGTATGCTTTGAAGAATGGAATTTTAACAATGAATGGAATATTATCATTATCTTCTTTTTGATAGAACCAACGCATATTTCGTTTAATATGAGATATTAAGTTTATATATTTAAATATTAAATATTTTATTTATATTAGATTTAACAATTAGTGTTTCTATTTAGTGTATTATGTATTTATTTCTACGAAACGTTAATAATTATAGTAAATAATTAAATATTAATAATTTTTGTTATATAATAAGCTTACATCGTTAAAATAAATTATAAAATAGATGATTACGATAGCTAATACAAACGAACCATTAGAATTAATGTTTATGTGAACAAAACAATTTAATAAACAATAATAGGTTCTCTAATTACACATGTACATAACTATGAATCATAGCGGCGGCGCCTTAAGTCTAATATTAGACTAATTGCAGATAACTTTTATTATCAAGGCAAAATAATAGTGGCATAATTCATATTTTTAACAATCAATAAATACATTATCTTTTCAGATGTTTATTATAGATTTTTATTATAAATTTCTAAGAAGCTATTTCTAAGAATATTCTATCATTCATAATTTTCTAATCAATCCTGTCAAAAATCCTTTTAAAATTTAACATATCTTTTATAAATATACTTATGTTCATAATGTAAATTTTTACATCCGCTCCCCCTAAAGGGTTAATTCTTATTCTAACTCTTCTTTTGTCTCGGTCGGTATTATTGGAATCGAAAGTAACGACCGTGTCCCGCAATCCAATTGTCAATCTGTGATTACCATAATTTAAGATTAACCGAAAAAATCAATTTACCAAAAATCTTATAATTTCTTTGGGAATCGTGTATACTCATTAAGTTCTTTATTAGACAAAATACGACAAAGTGGCCATCGTACTTACACAACACGTGGTCGGTATGTCGGGCGAAGATTTATGCCAGTGAAAAGCCAGGCGAATATCCTCGCCTCCAGCCGGTTTAAATGGCTTCGAGGCGGCTCTATACGCACTCTCGCTGCGCTAGTATTTAATTTCACTAGAGCATGAATGTTCCGGTCGGTGCTTACCCATCTTTTACGATACGCCTCGCAACGTCTTCCCCTTCGAACCTGGCCTCGAAACTTATGCCAGTTAACCGCGCCATGGATCCAATGTGCGTCAAGAAAATGAATTTAGGTGCAATCGGATCTGCTCGGCGCTTACGAAATCTTATGATCACGTGGGAAACAGCCATGTTTCCTTTTCGAACTTTGCTGGTGCTTCTTTCGATAGTTTTTTAGTTTTTTTTGGGGAATATTTTTTTGGGGGTTAGGAAAAGGGTTTGTCATCTTTTATTGTTGGAGTGACGGTATAATTTATGACAAGTAATTTGAGAGGTGTTCTCTTTTGATTTGGTGTTTTCTTTACATAGTTGTGCTTGAGAGGTTAAGTATGGTAGAATCAAGAAAATATGTATTTGAAGTAAATTAAGAACTCTTGTGATTAATAATCAAGACTCTGTGCATAATTAAATTGATATTTTTAGTGAAATTAGTGCAAATCATCAAGATATACGAAGAAAGTATCGCATAACAGTAACAAGTTTGATAAAAGTTAAATTTTAGAAGAATTTTATAATTTACAAATTCATGCAACAGGCGTTTATAATCAACACAATTTGAGGTTTGTAAATTTTCATTTATCAATAATATTAGACACGAATGAAATTGAAATATATTTTTTTCCAATTTTAATTATTTTATTTTCTTTCGTATTATACGTTATTTTGCACTTTGGTTTGTTTCAAAGAAGAAACTTCCAGAAGTCTCTTCTTGGAAATAAAGATTTTCCAATCATTCTACCATTTTAGTAAATAAGCCATTTATAGTCGTGAACCCGGTTTCTACTCGAGTCGGCATCTTTATCCGAACTTGTTCGTCCTTTATCGTCATGTAATAGGCCCCGATATGCGATTGTTAAATTTGTATTTATGCACCTATGAATATCTTTTTGCTTCAAATTGTTAATACGTTACATAAACAGTTTATAATATAAATTTATTTATTAAAATTCAAACGTATATTAAAGCATATATATATATATACGTACATTCAATACATTTTAACTTAACCTAAAATAAGATTATCATCAAAATATTTTCTGAAATGATTTAATTTTTAATATTTAAAATACTTTTTCATAATAATATAAGAGATTCGTTTTATATAGACCCATTATCCTCAATAAATAATAAATTGATTGATTTGCGGACAAGCTATTTACAAACCTAAGGAGGGCAGCGTAACCCAAGTCTCATTAAAAACGATTATTAGCTGCTTACATTTAAAGAAGCAACTTCGGACAGATCAACGTTCGTATTTGGGCAGCGTTGGGTCCGCAGACCGACTGAATTGTCGCTTGGGGCTAATTAGTGTTTAACTAGCGAAATAATCTTTTTTTCTAACTGTTCACGCCCCTCGATACAGTCCGATGTCTCCTTGGAATGGTTGATGAAGCTGTGCTTTGTATGGGATATATCTTTATGAGAAATTTTTCAACGATGACGAATATTTCAAGAATGTTTAAAGCGCTTTTTTCATATCATTATTCTTCTTTAACGTGATTATTTTAGGTTAGGTTTTGGTATTGGAATTAAACATCGACTAGTATTTAGATGTTTTGATTTTTCGAAATTGCGTGATATTTAAGATATTATTTTTTTAAACGTTTAAAAAGTTTTTCAAAATCAGTCCTTTTCGTTTCATTTATTTTGAAACGTAATTAGAAAATATTTTAAACTTTTTACCAGAGTTACTAGGGTTACTAGATTTCCCTAAGGTTCTACTAATAATCGCAATTATTACACAATTGGATTAAAATTTTATATATTCAATGAAATTATTCGAATTCTTTATTCGACAATCGAATTCTGATTACAACACACTTGCAACCGAACAAAAGTCCAGGAAACAGGTGCAGAACGAACCACAAGTGTGTTTATCGACGAGCCATCGTGCTTTGCGAGTTTCCTCGCTTTTGGTTTGCTCGTACGGATCGTTGGAAATATCCGTTAAGGTAAAAGTGGCATTCCATTCCTCAGCCAACATCGAGTGCTGCCAGTGCACGAACTTGTTTCGATTAGTTGAGAACGAAATCCCGTCGAAGTCTTTATAAAAATTTCGAAAAAGAATTGCCCAAAAAACTTATCTTACTCGTTGATCGGTCTGCCGCCAATAACGTTGGAAGGAAGTTCCAACGTTGACCGATCTTCTGCGAGTTCCTTG